TTTTCTTTCTATGATCACAACGAGTCAACAATAGATTTTCAACTGCGATATACATTTCTGATTTCAAATTCGATTATAATTTTCATAATCGATTGAAATCTCAATCTAATCAAATCTGATTGATGATTCTCAATTGAATATAATTGATTATTCACCCTCAAAACATATTTTAACTAGATGTCTTGAATTTTTTTATCAATTTCAATCGCAATGACTATAGAACACGTTTTTTATGAGTTTTTACTTGAAAAACTTCCATTTTTGATTATTTTTTCGAACTTCTCGCTTCCACAACTGATAAGTATAGTACCAGATCAATCGTTCATATTTATAACACAATTTTTAGATACGATACGATTACTAACTAATACTTGTGTTCATATAAGTGAAAATGGCCTATTAAGTGGATTAAAATCGATTGAAGTTGGAGTTTTTAGTCAATTGTAATTGGTTAATAATCAATTATAATTAAAATCATACATTCAATTACTTCTGGAACAGAATCACAATTATAATTAATTACAATCTGTTTGTTTTGAAAATTATATCCAGATGATAATTAAATTATAACGAATTATCATCTAATGAAAATTTCCAACAAAATTTGATTTTAATAGATTAAAATATTGATTTTATTATAGAATAATCAGATTTATAATTTTAATTATTGTCATAGGGTTTTAAAAGGACGGGAGCGTATAAGACCCCATTTTAGCTTCTTTTGAAAATTTAGCTGGGAGACTCTTATCATGTTTTCTCAATACAGCAAAATTTTTAAAAAGGGACCAATCTCTGGTCCTATACGCCTCCATCCTTTCAATTAGATTTAATTAGCAAAAAATTGTCAGCTGCTAAAATAGTCAAGATAGTTTCACACTATATTTTAAATACTTATATCAATGAGAACGAAATGATGTATGAATGAAATCTAACCTTTAAATTTAATTTTATATTTTCTTGTTAATTATTACGATTGAAAAGACGAAAAGATATCTTCACCTAAAAAGAAAGAAATACACGATAGTCATTTCAAAATTCTTCCATCATCTTAATGAAAGATAATAATATGGACAAAAAATGTCATTTTTGATTATTTATTATTTAAAAACCAATAAACTGTTAGTTATAACGAATAACTTTTTTGAAATAATTTTCCAGCTTTAGATTTGAAATAATAATTTATATCAAATAAATTTGTTTCTATTAATTTATATATAATAAGTATTAGAAATCTTTTCTTAATACATATTAAAAAAAGACAAAAGGAAAATCGCATTTGAACACAGTATTATCTCTTGTTCTTTCTAATTATTGATTTATTTTCTAAAAGATTCGTCTCTTACAGATTAGATTAGCATGAAAAACTTTGCTCTTTGATGACTGTTTCGATACAGATAATAATATTAATTAAGATCAAGTCAATATATATTTATTTTCCTTTAGGCGTTTTTTCTGTAATGTTTGAAGAATAAACCCTAGGGGGAACAGCAGACTTCAAAACTTCCAAAGACTTCAAGAGACTTCAGTGACGGAGACTTCAAATTTTCGAGAGTTCAAAAGACTTCAAGGGATTTCATGAGATTTCAAATGACTTCAAGTGACTTCAGGTGACTTCAAGTGAATTTAGGTGACTTCAAGAGCTTCACGGAAGTTCAAGAGACTTCATGGAACTTCAAGGGACTTCAGTGCGTTCATGAGACTCCACGGGACTTCATGAGACTTTACGAGACTTCGTGAGACGTCATGAGACTTCAAGATACTTCACGAGACTTCAAAAGACTTTGTGAGGCTTCGAAAGACTTCAGGAGACTTCAACAGACTTTAGCTGCTGAAGTCCTTCTGTTTTTCCTAGACTAAACCAAACGAATCAAAGAACAGGTATTGATGTTTCTGTTATTAATATAATTGTTGATTAAAGATTCTTTTACATGTATGAGATTGATTTAGAGAAACTCTTGTTATAGATGAATATGAATATTGTTTTGTTTTTTTCAAAAAGAAAAACAAAAAGTATTGATGAAATTAATCATTAAAGAAAAAAGAGAAACATGATAATTTTCTTTAGTATATAGCTATACCATATTATATTATAGATAATAATTAAATCCAAAGAGAAAATCTTGATATTTGAATGTCATTTTGACTATTTGGAAAACATTTTTGAACCATTAAACGATAGAGTTTGACTTTTTTAGGATGAATTTCACCATAAATATCAGGATAAACAAATTGTTTTAATTGTTCGACTAATTGACAAAGATCTTGTTCAAACGCAATAACATGTTCATCTAAATAATAACAACAATTTTATTAAATTGATTTTATTCTTCTAGGAATAAATATATTCGAATGCCATACTAATAGATTTAGATGTACGTAGAGTTCGATTCCATTGTTGCATATTATTTCCATACGATTTGTCAGATTTAAAGATTGGTCGAACTTAAAGAAAGAATAAATATAAAAGAAACATTTCTAAATTCAAAACAAAAAAAAAGTTTTTCATTTCTTTTTTGTGTTTTTGAAAGAAGAAATGTAAGTAATCAATGTGTTTTGTTCATTTTATTTTGTAAAATCTTTCAAAAGAAATAATCTTATTTAATACAAATTTTTAAATGAACTAAAAGTTATTTGATATATTTTCATAATTACTTTGACTAATGAAGGAATATCCCGAGATGATAAAAAAGCTTTTGAACTCAAATTTTGTCAATAAATAGGGGATATATATAGACTAGAAAAATTCTAAGAGAATATCGACATGAGTTATAATTTGGCTGAGATATCGACTTTTTAACGCTTTCACTCCCAAATTATTTCTGTTGGATTGTAGATTTTTAAGAAACATTTGAGAAGATTCTAGAACCTTTCTCAATGAACGACAATATATCTCCTTGACAGATAATTGGGGGAAGATTCTAGAGCATTATTTATTGCTTCATTCCACGGAATTGGCTACTAATTTTTATAAATTATCTTGTAAAAAATAATTATAAAACGTTTATTGTTTTTTTTTATATTATGGGACTGAAAGGGTTAATATAATTTTCCTATAGGACCATACTTTTCCAATAAAAGAAAAGTTTTGCATTTTAACATGAAACGTTGTCAATGAGGTAAATATAAACTAATACCTAAAAATATAGCAATCTATATCTAATTTTAAAATTTATTTATATCTATTTTATTAAGTAACACTACCTAACAACACAAAGTTATATCTAATTAATAATTAAGGCCCTCCCACCCCCCCCCCAATCCATTTTTTTTCAGGAACATTCAAATAACATGATATTTTCAGGATATGTTGGGGCTGTCATGAAGAGGCTATAGTAAAATTTTTAGCCCTATGCCATGATGTTTGAGGAAGATATTCACCAAACAAGGGTCAAAAATAGATCATTTGGCGACCCAAATTTCTCTGTCCAGGCTTATTCTATATATTTAATTTTTTTTGTTAGAAAGAGCATGTCAGGATGCACAACACTACAGAGCCTGGTTTTTTAAATTCTTACTTTTTAAGCGGAAAAAAGGAATAACAAGTTTAATGTCTCAAAAAGGTCCCAAAAAAATCGAGAAAAACCTCCATTTTTTGGTTTTTTTTTGAATCATTGAACTTGTTATTCTTTTTTTCCGCTTAAAAAGTAATAATTTAAAAAAACAGGCTCTATAGTGTTGTGCATTCTGATATGCTCTTTCTAACAAAAAAAAATTAAATATATAGGATGAGCCTGGACAGAGAAATTTGGGTCGCTAAATGACCTATTTTTGACCTTTGTTTGGTGAATATCTCCCTCAAACATCATGGCATAGGGCTGAAAATTTTACCATAGCCTCTCCATGACACCCCCAACATATCCTGAAAATTTCATACTATTTGAATGTTCCTGGACAAAAATGGATTTAGGGTGGGGAGGGGGGGCTTAAACTAACTTTTTTCTTATTACTTATCGTCATTCCTAGCTCATATATACTCTTTCAATTAATTTATAAGTACTAATCAATTATAGATTACGCTCAAATTAATGAGATGATTCGATAAATTGATTGATAGTCATTTGTTAAAAGTGATAATATATTAAATTAAAAGACAGAACATTTCTTAATTCAGAAATTTAATTGGTTTAAAAAATGTTTAATTAAAAAATTAGATTAAACAATTTTTTTAAAAGTATTCTTTCACCGGAATAGATACTACTGTATTAAGTTAGGAAATATTAATATAATTTAGATATAGATTGGTATATTTTTAGGTATTATATTAAATGCATGCTATTGTCAATTAGACTATCTAGTATACAAACTATCAGGCTTTCGGATGAATTACCTCTGAGATATCAGTATGTTAGTTTATAGATGTCCTTTTATGGATATTGTATTATGTATGTGTAGTTCGGAACAGAGATGAGCAAAATCGCACCGCGCCTCCCCGCGCTTCCCCGCGCCACTGCTCGCGCCTAGGCGCTACGCACATCTCTCTTTCTCTTTGCTCTACCAATCAGTTTCTCAAACTCCACCGAATACCGGAATGCTCTAAGCATGCGCTCATCAAAGCTCAGACTAGTGTAGCGTAGGCGTGAGCAACGGCGCGGGGAAGCGCGGGGAGGCGCGGTGCGACTTTGCTCATCTCTGGTTCGGAAAACCTATATCTCGAAGATAATTCATTGAGAAAATCGTTTGATACTTTGTATACTAACTAGTCTAATTGACAACGTTTCATATTAAAATGCAAAACTTTTCTTTTATTGGGCAAGTACGGTCCTATAGAAAAATTATATTAAAAGGTCGATATCTTAGCCAAATTATTACTTGCATTCCATATTCTCTTAGAATTCTTTTTAGTCTATACATCCCCTACTTATGGGCAAAATTTGGGTTCAAAATCTTTTTATCACCTCGTGATATTCCTTTGTAAGATCAATAGATACATATCAAGAGTCAAGAATATCCATATATTTTAACAACTAAGACTCAAGATCAAGTAATATATGGTCTTCTAACTTTCCTTACTCTTTCATTTTCAAAATGACTAAACAATAGTTTAATAATAAAAGAATTTATAGATAGAACATCAATACAAAAAAGAGAAATACTACGTAACGAAAGCATAGAAATAAATAAAATAGAATATTTCTACAAATAATTATATATCTTTATAGACGAATTTATGATGAAGGAGAAACAGCAAACTTCAATTTTAAAGTCTTATATAGCCTTCTAAAACTTTTCAAATACATTTAGTTCACGAAAAATTCTCTAGAAAAATCAATTTTTTAAATATTGTTTAAGTGTATTTTAAAACAGAGTATTATAAAGAAAAAAAAAAACTTTGTATAAAATTATTTGAGAACTCTCAGAATCAATGGTTCTCATCGTATTTATCAATGTAATTGCTTATTATTAGTGATTTTATTTTAGCAGAGATCTTGTAAACTTTTATTGTTTTACTAATTAATATGTCATAAAAAAAGTTTTTTTTTAAGTTCATGTCAACTCAAAAACATTTTAAAATGCTTTCTTAATGAAATTGTTTATTTCTGTAGAGAAATGTTCCATTAATTTAGAATCAATTGTATAATGAATATTAATTAATTTTATTTGTTTTTATCTCTCACAATAGTTTATCAGTTAATAATCGACTAGATTTGTGTATCGATAATTGACAAGTTGTTTGCTCAAATATGGATTTAAATTTATATTTTATATGATTTCTAAGTTTTCTCAAAGTCATCTGAAGTCTCAAGAAGTTTTTTTTTTGACATCTCGGAAAATTCTAAGAAATATTTTTAAGTCCAATGAAGTTCTATATAGCTTCATAAAATCTTTAGAAGTCTTCTGAAATTTGAATAAAAAGAGTTGATCAATAGAATATCAATTTTTCTGCACTTTGAATATATTATAAGATGAAAATATCTTAATAGTAGTGAGTTGAAAATTAAACTTACTTGTTGTCCAAGGAAAATCATCTGGTCTCCAAAGATGTAATGTTTGTAAATAAGGCATATGAGTATTTAGAAAAGGTACAAGATGTCTGCCAGTCCGAGTTGAAGCATCATCACCAACATTACAACTGGCAATACCAAATTCAGCATATCGAACAGTATTTAATACATTTTCTTTTCTGAAATAATAATACAACTGCTACAAATGATATAAGATAATAATTATTTTATTTAATTATTTCTTCTTTGACATTATTATAGGATCAGAAAATAATCTAGTTGAAAAATAATATTTGAAAAACAAAAATACTCGCCAATGCGGCTTTGTATGAGACCAAAATCGGGACCTCACAAACTTTGTGTACCATAAAATAGAGTCCTGAAAAATTGAAAATTAATTATTATGTCATGGCTGTTTGTAATAGTAGTGTCTGTAATGGCGAAGATGCCGCGAAAAGTTCAACTTAAAATTTACACTAACTATTTTTCTTCGTCAAATATGTGAGTTCCACAAAAATCTTATGATAACAATTTAATGTAAAGAAAAATGTTACAACACTAGTATTTGTGCATAATTTAGTTGATAGTTGAAAAAATTCTAACAAACAAAATAATAAGATTTTCAATTATTTCATGATTCTTTGTTAATTATATATTTGAAAATTTCAAATTAAAAATTAAAAACTTACCTTTTTAACAACAAAATAAAGCCATTCAAATTTTTGAATAAAAAGATATTTAAGTTGAAGAGGCATTGACAGAAGACAAGCAAGTATTTCAAGATGTTTTTTCTCTTGATGTGCCCATTCTATACAGTTACCTAGAAAAAACAAATCTTGCTTAAATTCTTATTTATAACAAGAACATATAATTTTCAACACTAATGTAAACAAGGATTGATAGTTCTACAAAGAAGAAAAAAGTAAGACTTCATTTATAATGTCAATAGTACTTCAGGTAAACAATCACGTTATTAAATAACAATAAGTAATTGATCATTTTCAATTGTAATTTACTTGTAGTTGAAAATAAAATATCACATTTTTTCTTGATCAAATTTCACAATACAATACATTTTCATAATAAGCAATTTTAATGGAGTAATGAAAAATACAGAATGAATTATATTATCTTACATTCTTTACCGTCTTTTATCTTGTCACTCTCTCTTCTTTTATTAGATTGTGATAAACAGTTTGGCAACATCATTTCTTTTCTGTCTTCACAAATGGCAATATGTCTATGAAATGAAACTCTACAACAGGACTGCACTAATTAAAAGTCGAAAACTGGAATTGAAATTAATGTATCTCTATTCTACAACATAATTATAATAGTATATTAATGCATTTTATAAAGATAAAGTTCTTTCTCTTTCATATTCTTGAAATGTCTATTGCGATTGATGAGATTTAAATAAGAACTAAAATAACTTTTTTTTTCCATATTTACTATAATGTCTTCCAATCAATAATTTCTTTCATGATAGACACACATTGAAAAGCATAGAATAACTTAAAAACTTTTGAGATATATTGTTAAATTTCTTCGTTTACAATATAAACAATTGAATTATGTTTTACATTTTTGATTTCACAAAATATTCTACTAATAAAACTTTTTTATATTAATAAAATAATACATTGTCTAAGAAATATTTCATTAAATTGAAAAAGAAAAAAAAAATGATTTTTACGTACGAATACGACGACAAGTACAATATCCAAATCTAAGTTTTGTAACATTTCGAAGTTGACTATCATTTAGATTTCGTTGTTTCATGCTGAATGGTGTTGTCAGCGATTCCAGAATCTTTGCTTTAACATCATCACTTCCTACAGAAAAACAAATTTATTTATTTTAATACATTCGACCCGATTCAGTTTTCTTAGAAAATTTTTTCGAGATGTTCATTTTCATGGACAGTTAACTTCTAATAAATGCACTTAATGACCTCAGGCGGTCAATAAAGTGGTACCGAAAGGTAGCATTTGAATTAGTTTTTGGGGCGGCACTAGTAAATAGCTATTTCATATACAAGGAAAACTACACGACTAGCAAAGTGACCATTCTCCAATTCCGTGAAAGTCTTGTCCGGTCTTTACTGCTTCGCACACCAATCGAGAAGCTGAAACCTGGTCCAAAACAGCAGTCAGCAAGTTATTCGAAGCGCAAACTCGCGGATCACAAACCCGAAGAAAAGGAAGGATCTACGCGCAATGTTGGCAGACGGTGCACTAGCTGCTATGCGAAGGGAAGAGCACAACAGTCAGGAGAAGCGAGCTATGCAGCAGCAAAGAAATTAAAAACTTTCTGTTCTGACTGTGATAAATTTTTTTGTCTTGAGTGCTTTAATGATAAGCATTATGCTATGAAATAAAAGACTCAAATAAAGTACTATTGACCGAAGATATGATATCTTATTTTTAACCTCCTGCTTAAGAAAAAAGCAAAAGAAAATGCTTTTCTATACAGTTTCTCGTTAAACTATAGCATGGCCCATCGGTGGGCCACATCGGGTCCAATGGGTTAAATTTATAGTTATTGATACATTTTTTAGATCATAACAAAGCAACTAAATCTTCTAGTACTTGATTCATTCCATTTTTCTTCGTTGTTTCAAGTTATTTTTTTTTATATATTCAACGAAATTAAACTGGATATTTTTTTGCATGAAATACAAGTTTCTCAAGTGACAAATACAGTTAACGGAGTTCAGTTGGTATTAAACTATCGAAAAACAAATTATCAGTTTGATTTAGCAATGTCTGGAAAAGTAAATCAATATTTAAAAAAATATTATTAGATCAACTTAAATAAAAACACATCATATTTGTATTTGTCATGTTTAGTTACTGTAACTATAATCAATTAAAGTAAACTTTCCTAAGGGAACACAGCAGGGCTTCAACAACAGAGACTTTAAATTTTCGAAAGACTTCAAGTGACTTCATGAAACTTCAAGACTAAAGTCTTGCTGATTCCTCTAGAAATTTTCATAATACAAAATTTCGAACTATATCAATTGATTCGATCTTCGAGCAGAATGATGTTAAAAATGAATGAAAATATGTAACAATATTCATTGAATTTGATTACTTATTTATTTTTTCATTGATCATCAAGTCTGTAAAGATCAATGAGAACTATATTGGAAAGAAAAAATATTTACCGATATCAATTGTCATAGAAGAAACATTAGGACATAATTCATCGAATTGTTTGAGAAGTAAATAAAATGATGGATGATGATTATTCTGAATATGTTCAATATCAGACCATTCATATATATATGCATCTTTACTTAATAAAAAGAAAAATAATTTCATAATAAAATTTTCATAAGTAAAGAAAAAAAACAAAAATCTCTTACAGTAGAAGAATAGAACGTTGAAATTTTTTAAGATTAGAAGAGAATATATGTTGATATGACATATTTTTATCATAAAAACCTTGAACATTTGTCCATTGATGATCAATAAAAAAGGAATTTATTTTAAAAGAATTAATTATTTTCGAAATATTATTTAATGATGATGAACATTGTGTACAAATATAAAAATAAAAATATTTTAAATTAATTATTTGATCAGGTAAACAATATTGACGAATAAAATTTGCGTCAATCATAGAATTACATATTGATTGATCTGCTTTCCATATAATACTAGCATATAAATGAATTTCCAATTTTATAATATGATTTAAATTATTAAGAAGCCATTTTAAATAAGTTAATTCGAAATCGGTACAAGCATAAATTTTCAATATAAAACTTTTCAATCTTCGTACCTATTTTACAAATAATCAATTACAATTTTTGAAATTTCAACTTTATTTGACAAGCAAAATGAAAAGTCAATTATTGAAAATAATCTATTTACATTACTTTATATTCTTTTTTTATTTAATAACTAATCTATTAATCGTTTCGAGTCGATGGGGTCCACCGGTGGGCCCCACTATATTTTAACAAGAAATTTAATAGAAAAAAACTTTCTTTTCTTTTATTCTTAGGTGAAAGATTAGACGTAATGTGTGCCTTCGCTATTTTTAAAATCATTTATTGATAGCGTAATGCCTCTCGTTAAAACAATCAACACAAAAAAAATTGTTACAATCAGAACAGAAAGTTTTTATTTTCTTTGTTGTTGCATGACACTCTTCTCTTGATTGTTCTATTCTGTTTTTTTCGTAACAGCCAGCACATAACAACACCTAACAAAGTCAAAGATAGTGCTACGAAAAGAATGCAAAAGAACAAGATTGAAATTTTTTTCTTTACCTTGTTCCTATTGCGCAATGCATACAAGAGAAAAAACAAACTTGAGTAACTATTCGGTTCGACGCGAAAAAGCACCGCCTATGTAATGATATAAACAAGAAAAAGAAAAACGAATGGCTCTACATACTGAAAAATCCAACGAGTGCATTTGTCGAGGGTGAATATACATGAAAATGAATGTGTTTAAGTTATTTTCTATAAAAATCGAATCGACTCGAAAGGGTTAAATAAATAAATAAATTCTTCTCTATTCTAGTCGAACAATTTTAAAATAATTGTTCCAATTAGATATTTCTAATGTCAAACTAAATCATCGGAATCCATTACTTTTCTCTTATATAGATCACTTGAAAAGATCTATTTTGTTAATTTTATATTCGATTTATTCTTCCTGATTCGGATATTAACTATCTAATTAACTAATGGAGTTGACATGCAATAGTTCTTTTTATTTTTCTTTTGTTTTTTTTTATCGTCAATTTATTGGAAATAGAAATTCATTAAGAAAGAATCCGAGTGTTTTTTTTATCACTGGCAAAAAATTGATACAGTTCTTAACAAAATTGGAAAAAGTTGATTTTCATTATCAAAATATGATTCTAATGATAAACCTGTCAATACAGATTCTAAAAAACTCAAATGTCTCCTTCATCTTTATTAAAACAAAGACAAAAAATAAAATATTTCTTATAGAGGATAGTTCAACGAAGAAAAAGTGTCATGTCACTTATACTTCATCAATGTCATAATTATCCCTTATTTGAACTTTATAGATCTTTCAACAATACTAGAAACTTTATATGAATTAGATAAAATCTTACTTTATTTTTAGCCTTTCAACAGATACAAATCTATCAGATAGATTAGAATCTAGATAAACTAATTAACAAGTTGAAAAATTCGACTCAAGAATTTCTTCTTATATCGTCTTTTAATTAAGTATGTACGAATTATAGAAAAGTTACTAATGATTGATTTTTTTTTCTTGTATAAGAAACTCGAATATAAAGTAGTTTTCTATTAAAAACTTATTTGGTTTTGCCGGCTTAAATTTAAATAATACATAGATAAGGTTCAGTCCATACATAACTATAATAAACTCTGCCAAATCTCATTACATTTAGATCTATCGAAATCTAAGAGAATCCAAAAGTATTCATTTCAATTCACTTATTTCTCTCTTATATACATAATAAAAATATTCTAGCAAATTATATCATTTAACTAAAATTACATCATATTCTTTATTTGACTATCTCTTCATCGAATAATTTCACATTTTTCGTTTCGTTGATCAATACAATAAATTATTAGCGAATGAATTTTATCATTTTTTTGACGATTAATTGATGAAGTGTGCAAAAATCTATTCAAACTTCTACTCTTTTCATATTACTCGATTATGATGTCATCAAAGAGAATCTACATTTTCCTTACAAAAATACTTAGTTACATAACAAACTTGTTATCTCGATTAGAGTAGTACTACTCTTGGCACATTGTTCAAACGCAAAAAACCACCTTCATATGAACTAACATTTACATATGAGATAAAATTTAACTAAAATCTTTTACAAAGAATAATCTAATATGCATCTTACTTTATTAAACCAGTTTCCATTTGATAGGTGTGGTATGTTAATGTTTGAATCAAGAAAATCATTATGGATTGCAAAATTGTGAAAATAAACCGATAATTGTTCGAGATTGGGCACATATTCAATGAGATCTTCTAGAAAACATGTATGCTTGAGATAAATACGTAAATGACGTAGAGTTATAGAATAAGATTGAAATTCATTAGAAATTTTGTTTGATAAAACATAAGAATGTGATTTTAAACTTTGATGAATTTCATAAGATAATTTGGACATATCGATTTGAAGAGAAGTTAATTGACTTTGATTAGAAAATATTTGACATAACATTTGCTTAAACATACTTTTTATTTTTTCTATTTAATCATAATAGAAAAAAAAAACAACCCAGGTGAAAGAATCCGATTGTACGATCTTATATGATCTTGTAAGAATCGTATAAGATCGTACGCCGATCTTGTACGATCATACGAGATCGTATGAAAATCGTATATGATCTTGTACGATTTTGTACGATTACCTCAAAGCCACCATTTCAGATGAAATCGTACTGTACGATTCTTGTACGATCTTAATGTCAGTCCTTGTACGATCGTATAAGATTCATACAAGATCCTTTAGAGCTTCCGACAACGTTATACACCTCATTTTCTTCCCTTCGGGTTCTATACCTTCCTTTCTCAGGCAGTGTTTTATCTTAAGCACACATAAATGCAACAAATCACAATTATTTATTTACTTAATTTGATACATTTAGTCAATATAATATTGATGAATTAAAATTATCTTGACTAAATGTATCAAATTAAGTAAATAAATAATTTTCATTTTAATTTATAACCATCAAATTCAATAAATCCATTAAATCAAATAGGTAATTTTAATTTTAATCCATAATCAATACATTCTCATAAATGCATCAATATCAATAAATAAATAACGATAATTTCATACCATAACCAATAAAGTCACTAAATGCATCAATATAAATAAATAAATAAATAAAATTTTATTTCATAATCAATCAACTCTCATAAATGCATCAATATTAATAAATAAATAAATATAATTTCAAT